TGAAACAGATAGATAAAGCGAGGCAGAGAGACCATTTTATTGGCATTGACCCGACCAGTTAAAGATAACGGAAGAACCCTCCATTTATCTATAGAGATTTTTAACTTATTTATGGCTTCTGTGAAATTTAGACTGAAAATATGTTTCAAATTTTTGGGAATGACTAACCCTAAATAAGTAAAGTGAACCTCTGTTATTCTAAAGGGTAATGACCTCAAAAAGTGACCATCCAGCCCTTGACCCAAGGGCATGAATACACTCTTCTCCCAGTTAACAGAATAACCAGAAAAAGAACCAAAAACCTCAAGTGATTCCATTAAAAGTGGCAAAGCAGAAGAAGGATCACTCAAATATAAAAGCAGATCGTCCGCATATAAGGACAACTTAACCTCAGCATGACCATATGATATACCCCTAATCTCAGAATGACTGCGAAGATGGATGGCCAGGGGTTCTAAAGCTAAATCAAATAACAGTGGGCTTAAACAACAGCCCTGTCGTGTACCACGCTGAAGAGGAAAGAAAGCAGACCTATCTGAATTAGTAAGTATTGCAGATTTGGGGGTAGAATAAAGCATTTTTATCAATAGTTTAAAATTCTCACCAAAGCCAAACCGATCCAGGACTGAAAACATATAACTCCATTCAATACGATCAAAGGCCTTTTCGGCATCTAACGAAAGAACAGCTGCCTTGGAACTCTTACTCTGATTACTATACAAAATATTTAGCAGGCGACGTGAATTAAAAAAAGAAAATCTTCCTGGCACAAAGCCAGTTTGATCTGTATGATTTAACGAGGCCACATGTTTATTCAATCGCGTGGCCAAAATTTTGGCAATCACTTTTTGATCGCAATTAAGAAGACTTATTGGCCTGTAGCTAGAGGGCTCTGTAACATCTCTATCTTTTTTCTTCAAAAGGCATATATGAGCCTCATAAAAAGAATCAGGAAATTTTTTCTTTTCAATTGAATGATTTACCATTCTAAGCAACAAAGGAGCAATTGCATTTGCATTAGCCTTATAGAATTCCACACCAAACCCATCAGGGCCTGTGGCTTTCCCATTAGAGAAATTGCCTCCAAAATTTCACAGAGAGTAAACGGTTCTTCTATTAAACACTCAGACAGATAGGACTGAAACTGTTTATCCATTAATAACTGAGGATTGAAGCGCCAACAATACTGCGCCTTTGGTAGCGAAGATTTCTTAGACGCCATTTTCCAACAGAATGAGTCAGCGAAATAACGAAAGTCGCCCTCAGCGCACTTAAATCTCACTAAATACTCAAAACCTTGGGGGACTCCGCATGTCATGGACATCCACTTAGACCTATGCTCTTCTATACTCACATAATAACCTCTCCCTTCTAAGTATGACCTGAACCATTTGAGTACCATCCCAGAAAGCCCAACC